TTTCTTGCAAACGCTTTGTTTCCCGGCTAGTAACATGAACTCTGAAGATGTTACCTAGCCGGGTAACGAACGTTTGCATGAAAACAACCAAGCTCAGAGAACCCCAAGGACTCCATAGTTCAACCCTGAGCTACACATATTCGCTTCTGTCGGTCTCTCGGAATTATCAGCAGTGGGGTTTCGGAGTCGGCATCCATATTGGAAGGGTGTCCAATCTGGGGAAGGCTGATGGAGAAGCTTGTAAATTGCTTCCAGACTGGGGCATTTAATATGGGCAGATCTGAAATGGCAACGTTGAACTAAGTCTGAAAGTAATTGTTTTAACAGAGTCACTCTCACCTTGGTTTGCAGGAATGCAGGGGGTTTTTTTGGTGTGGAAGGATTCAGAATACAAAAGAAATGGACACAAATTCCTGACCTAGGGAGCTTTCATCCATTCAACTTGTTTCATTCCTCCCACAAAAAAAGAAATTAAACATATTTGTGCCACTCAACCCCAATGCCAGTGCTTCCCTTGAACTGATTAATGGTCCTTTCAGCTGATCAGTGTGAGAGTGCCAGAATCAGCATCTGGCCAGCTGTGTGTCCTTGCTTAACAGAAGACCTTCTGAGCAGCTGTGATGTTATTAGAAAGCAAAGGGTGACCCAGTCCCAGCTTAGCCCCTTGTCTGCGAAGTGTAGTTTTGACTTAGTGTTTCAGATACAAAACATTTAAATAGTATTTATTTTTGCGCCATTCTGCATGACAGATGCGTTCTTTGTTTTTATGGGACGTGTCAAGCTTTTTGGCAGTAAGCTAAATCTGAAAGTGTGTCTTTCTAAGCACAATTCTCACAGAGTCTTTTTAAACAAGATTTATTGAGAAGAAAGGCAATTCCAGCAATTGAACTATTTGCTTTCTGGAACCTATATATCCCAATATACAGCAGGGCAGGTTTTTTGTCTTTATCTTTCCACCTGCCATCCTTTGATCCAATGGAGAGATTTTTTTTTTCAATGATACCAGAGAAACTTGCAGCTAGCTATTTACGTAATGGTTTTCTGGAATATCATTCTAGGAATCCATTTCTCCATATTACGTGACATATTTACCATGCTTTTATCTCACTCAACTTTTGGGACAAATTTTAATTTTATAGATTGTGAAGGTATATAAAAAGTTGTATCATACTGAGTTGAATCTAGCAACAATTCTTCTGACTGAACTTTTTCATGACTTTCCTATAAAGGTCAGGACTGAATCTGGAATTTCATGCAAAATGTGTGTGTGTGTGTACAGGTAGTCCTTGACTTATGATCACAGTTGGGGCCGGAATTTCCATCACTAAGTGATGCGGTCATAAAACAAGATGTCATGTGACTGTCTTAAGAGATAAATATCATCTATCAGATGTAACCCAGTGGCAATATTTATAGCTACAACATTTATTAACAACATTGGTTGGACCAGCAGCATTTTCAGTTTCTGAGACCCCTGAGATACTAGAACAACTTGTTAGATCCTTTAAAACTAAAAAACCTACTATTAGTTTTTATAGATACAATAGACCAGTTTGATATGCAGATGTTAAGGGATGAGTGGAAGAATTGGAGGTTTCTAAAAGAATTAGAGGTTTCCATATTGTCTAGACAGTGGGAGAGTGTCTTAACTTCTATAGCAAGAGTGTCAATAGTCTTTGAACTATGACTTATACAACAAAAAATAATATTTAGAATTTATTGGACTCCACTATGTCTGTATAGAAAAGGATGTCAAAAACAGCATTTTGTTGGAGATGTGATAAGGACAATGTATCTTTAAAGCATATGCTTCTACAGTGTCCTATGCTTACCAAGTTTTGGGAGAAAGCAATAGACTATATAAATATGATTGTGAACCAAAAGCTAAAATTTTCAGAGGATAATATTCTTTTGAACTATATACCTAGTACATGGAATTTGAATATGATTGTGAACCAAAAGCTAAAATTTTCAGAGGATAATATTCTTTTGAACTATATACCTAGTACATGGAATTTGACATGTGGACAATGTAAACGGACTCTCCGTGCCCTTACTATGGCCAAAAGACTGATATTGCAGCATTGGAAAGACAAATGTATGGCGCCATTCATTCAATGGATTGAAGTCCTGATTGCACTTGCCACCTATGAGTGGATTGCTTATAGATGTAGACTTTGTATGAATAAATATAATGAAACATGGGACTCATTTATACAAAATACAGTAGTTTAAAAAAAATGATAATCATATAAATCTATTAGAAATATATAAGTACTTGAGTAATAATTGTATCAGATAAGTATGTATAGAATTGAAATTGTTTATTGTTATAATGATATTTTAACACTTTTCTCTTTGTTGTATTTTTTTCACTTTTGTTAAACCAGTTTTATGTTTTTTTCCCCTCTTTTTGTAATGAAATTTAATTTTAAAAAAATGTCATGTGACCACATCGCTTAGCGACTGCAATCCCGGCAGTCCCAGTTGCCATCGTTAACCGAGAATCGTGGGTCATTAAATGAGTACCTACCCCAATCCAAGCCATTCCTGGCTTGGTCCCTCCCAGCCCTGAGCCTCAGTAAGGGGAAGGACTGCCTCCAATTCCCCCCCTCCTATCTTCCCCTCCATCCCTGCCCTTCCGGCCACCCTGCGTGGCTCTGGGGCTGCTTGCCATGCCCTGGGAAGCCTCAGCTACTTCAGCCCAGTCCCAGCTGCAGCTGCCCTTGCCACCCTGCACTCTGAGACCCCTGCTGCCCTGCCCTCCACCGCCCCAGCTGACCTTTGCCATCTTCTTGCTCCCACTGAAAAAAAAAGCCAAAAGCAGCCCCTGAGCCGCAGCATGCCAGAACACCCCTTTGTAAAGCATTTTTCATGGGGCATTTTGGCACGTCGTGCTCCACAAGGTTTTTGCAAAGGGGCTTTTTGGTGCGCCCCAGCTCAGGGGCTGCTTTTGGCTTTTTTTTTTCCCATAGCCAAAGCCCGGCCTGGCCTGGCCCAGCAGCCAGGCTGGGCACACCTTGTCAGCAACAGGAGCAAGAAGACAGCGAATGTCAACTAGGGTGGTGGGTGCAGGGCAGCTGGGGGGCAGAAGGGCATAGATGGGGGGAGATAGGCAGGTGGGGGGAGTTGAAATGCCCCTGCAGTCAAAGTGTGGGCAGGCTGCCAAGTGCCCAAATTTTGATATGTGGCTGTGGGGGCACTGCAACGTCTGTAACCTCAGGCACTGATCATAAGCCACTTTTTTCAGCGTGTTTGTCATTGAACAGTCGCTGAATGAGTGGTCATGTCAAACACACACACACACATATATGCGCATACACATATATACACATACACACACACATACATACATATATGAAATCTCCTTCAAGTTGAACTCAGCCCATTGACATGACCATGTAAGTATTTTGGCAACAATATGGATGTAGTCTGCCATTGCTGATTTGTGGGATTTTTTTTTTTTTTTACTTTTTCCTGGTGTTCAAGTGCTAATCAAGTCTAACCATACTTCGCTTTTTGAGATTAGCCAAGGTTGACTAGGTGCTAAAGTACTGCTTTGAGGGCTTATCCCATCTGATCTGCAGCTTTTGATCAGGAAAGAATCCCCACAATTGAGTCTGAGCTTTTACAGTTGTGTTTTGATTTCTTTGATACTCTTTGTTAAAATACAAATCAACCTGCCCATTTAAGAGTTGGAGGGCATCTGGTTCCCACCATTAAAGCCTTTTAAAATTATTGATTTCAGGGAAAAACCGCAAAGGAGGAACCAGAGATGCAGACATTACAGCTAAGGAGCCTGCAATTCTTGGAACGCTATATTTATCTCATTCTGTTCAACGCGTATCTTCACTTGGGGAAAAAAGACTCCTGGCCAAAGCCTTTCAGCATCTGGATGCATGAGGTCAGTAGTGTTCAATACCAACATATAGCCCTTGGATAACATTTTGTAGATTTTTTATTTTGATGAATAATGCTGGGTTGAGGGGTATGGAGGGTCAGGACAGACAGGAAGTGAATTTTCCTATATCTGAAGATGAATGTGCTCTAAACAGGATTTATGGCCTATTTCCCCTTCTCCCAGCTTAGGTAGTCTAAATTCTGCACTTTGTCACATAATTTGTGGGTACAGTTTTTCAGATCAGAACTTGTTGAGATACATACACTACATTTGCACATTTTGTTAAACTGTAATATTCTCCCTGGCTCCTTTGATAAATTATATGATGCAATGAGGATCTGGATCTGAAAATCAGTGTATCGAAGACCAAGGTAATTAGGTTTAATAGGGAAAATGGTGTGAACTTGCAAGTTACACATAAAGAGCAGAAAAATGAAAGCAAGTAGATTAATTTTTGTATCTTGGCGTTATGTTAATTAAAGATAGGAAAACAGATGGAGAAGATGTACAACTGCTGATAGAAAAATAGTCAGGAGCATGTGGTCTGTTATGAGGAAGAATGTCAGGAGAAGCAAAAATGCCAGCGTATAATATTTTTTGTTAAAAGATTAAGTTGAATGCATTGGGAAGAAGTGTGTGTCGTAAAACAGGAAGAGATAGAGTCAAGAATGAAGGGAGCCGAATGAATGTTGGTGGAATATACAAATGGGTAACTAGTTTGAAAGAAGTATGTTGAGGTGATTTAGTCAAATAGAGAGTATGAATGAGGATGGAATTGCAGGATGAATATAAGAAGGAAGAGTGAATGTTACAGGAGGAAAGGAAGGACTGAATAAACTGCGATTGGATGGAATTGATGAAGTGAGATGTTTAAAAGACAAAAAGGCAATTATGGATATGAAAAAGCAAGGATGGTTTGCAAGAACTGAAAGATAGAGAGAAGATACAGTGTACCGTGTTGTAAGCTAGGTTGATTAGAATTCCTTCTTCTCCCTTTAGTTTCTTTTGCTTATTACTGTGTACTCTTTTTCTGCATTTTGCATCGTGTTGCTTACACCAAAGGGAACAGAGGGATGGAGATGTGTGTAGGTGCCGCAAGGCAGTTGAGTGTCCATTAGCAGGTGGAAGGGGAAAGAACCAGCAGGACCAAGGATTTGTTTCTTGGGCAGAAGAAAGTCACGGGGATGCCGTGATTGTTGGGACTGGGAGACAGCACAGACGCAGTTGTCCCTCCAAGCTTTGCTGACTAATTACTATTCACCATTGGATGACTATATAAAAATGGGAAACTATAAAGATTTTTGCACTGTTAACATGGGGAGGCCCAGCCTTTCCTTAAATGTATATATGTACAGTATGGAACAGTGGGTGACAAACATTTATAGGAGCTGCATTTTATAGTCTTCGTTTTTTGTTTCCAAATTTACATTTCTGCTCTCAAGTCAGAATCATTGTTCATAGCTGCTTCTAGCTTTCACAGAGGTCCTTCGCAGGCCTAAAGAAAGGCCCTGTTTCCCATCCCCAGTCACTTCACACATTATTGTTATGGCAAAACGCATTATCCTTGCATTCCTTGTGGATTCATTCCCATGAACAACAGCTGTTCTTGTAATTTGTTGATGATGTTCATTATTTCTCAGAATATTTTTTATGCAGTAAGCATCTTTGGCAGAGAGCAAGATTAGACCAAGTGGCTTCGGTGGATCAGGCACTATTAAGAGCTCCTGACCGCAAGCCAGAAGTTTCAGCAGCTGTGGACAGGCAAGGTGGTAACTCTTTTTGAAACATGGCCATTTTAATGAGAGTAGTAGGGGAACCATTGATGGGTTACAGGCTCCATATTCCTGCCTGCTTGATGTCTGCAGCCCTTCCTCTCTTTGGAGAAATGGCTAAGGTTCTTTGCCTGATATACCAGCTAAAAGAATTCAGCCAAGTTCTCCCAATGATGCTATCCCAGGGTTCAGCTGTAATCCATGATTCTAAAGAAAGTGTATAAGCAAGACACCTGATCTCAGACAGCAACACACATCTTATTTTTTGGATCTAGGAACCCTCCATCTAAACATGACAGTCTCACATACATCAGATTTGAAGAATGGAAGAGGGTATAATGCTTTGTTTTTCTCTGAGATGATCACAAATGAGCTTTTAATAACTGATTAAGTAGGACCTTACTGTAGTGTGCATTAACCCCTTAGTTTTTCATGGTCTATCTCACCTTGCCAATTGGAAAGGAGCACTTTGAACTATTTACTGTTCCACTTGGCCAAACTCCATAGAAAATTGATTTAACAAGTGCTAACATAATGTAAATTCCAGCATGGAAATTCTGGGAGTTCTGCTCCTGACACACCTAGACAGCACCAGGCTAAAGAACGCCAAGTTGTTACTTGATAAATGGTGTTGAAATATATTCCCTAGTTTAGAATGTTACTTCTTGGGACAAAAAATCCATCCTGTCCATCACAGGACAAGAGACAGTGTGTGTGCAAGAGTTTTTTTGGGGAAGTGGTAGAGACTACAGATAAAAAGTGAAGTTTTGTCTCCCTTTGTCGCAGAGGAGGATTTATGGTACCAAAACCCCCAGAAAGATTGCTTCTCAAAGGAAATTAAAGATATTTTCACTTATTTCCAGGATTTTTCTATGAATTTCTGTGACTCTCACCTATCTGTCTTCTGTTTCCTTATTTGTGGGTGTGTACATATTTCTAAGTTTTGTCTCTATGTGTTTCTAAAACTTGTGCGTTGTATTTCTATATACCATGTATCTTATTCTTACAGATTTCTGTGGGTTTCTGTATATATAAGTTATGCCTTATTCCTATGGGTTCAATGATTTGCTATGTATTTCTTTTCATCCTTTCTCATTGTTTGATCTTCTACAGGTAGACTTGAATTGTCCATGCATGTGTTAAGTATTAGGCTTGGCTACCACTCTCCTTGGCTGGTCTCCCAGCTGTGGAAGGCAGAGAAACTGGTTGTTTCTCTGTTGTCTCAACATGAGACCTAGCCACCATTTACCCACTCCAGGTTTGGCTGCCTTGGTTCTGAGCTAGTGTTTTCTAGTGGTGGAGAATATTCATTACATGCCAAAGTTTTTAGGTTTAATCCAGTACTTCTCCAGAATGCAGGTGAGACCGTAGAGAGCCATTTCCCATCAATTCAGACAATACTAGGTGGCTTAATAGTGGGATTCCATAGAAGGCAGCTTTCTACGTCCTTAACTTTTCTGCAGTCAAGATAACTGATTTGTTCAAGAATATCAGGATAACTGCCTGACCAGAGAAATCTGCCTGCTTCCAATGTGAAAAGGACATGGGACACCGTAGGTGTTAAATGAAAGGAAACTTGAAAGTTATATACCGTGCAATATAGCAGAAGCATCATAGCTCTGACCAACAATTTAATAGAAGTTCCACAGTGTTGTTGCCTTAGAATGAATCATTCAGACAGAAAACTGAGAGGCCTCATGACATTTTCTTTAGTTATGTTTTAGAACTACTGTTTACTTGTTTAAATAGAAACAGTTTGTGCTGGAAGGAAGCCATTTATTTCTAGTCTCTTACACCTCTCTGTCTTATTCTCCTTACCCTATCATGTTCTTCCCACCAAACATTCCCATTTGGGGCTTCCTCTGATTATGTTCCCAATTTATCCTCAGTTGCGTTCTGTGCTTGGATGTCTATGCCTCCCGCACAATTATCCTTTCCTATTTTCTCCAGAATCCCCCAAAATTGCTTTCATATGCTTTCCCTCCTGTCAACCTTTTTAAGGCATCCCTGATTGTCACATCCGAAATCTAATTTTGTCCTGGAAAGAGAGAATTGTGGTTTGTCCGCATATGAACTCATTGCTGTTTCAATGTCTACACTCCCCTTATTTCACTGTATGACTTAGAAAATGCGGAATACCTTATACAAATTTGCTAGCTCTTATTTGAGATCTAATTTCTGTTGCTATTGCTATTCTTCTCTTTTCTTTTGCTTTCCTGTACCACAAAAAGTACAAACAGAAAAGAAAACAAAAATAAACCTTGATTACAAAATAATATGCATTCTATTAGGTCAGTAAAGAGCCAGTTCCTAAGCCGAATGTAAACGCATATCTTGAATCTAAGCTCTGTCTTTTCAGTGTTGGACAATATTTGCCTAATAAATCTGTAATAGTAAGTTCCAACTTTTTAATAAAATTAAACCATAACAATCTTTGTAAAATCACATTAGTGATCATACACATGTCAAACTAAAACAGAGCATTAGTAAAATAAGCCAATGCCATATTTAAGTGTCTCCTCATCCATTTTGTATTTCTAACATAATGAAATTGACCAGCCCTTTTAAAACATTATTTGGAGAATCCATTAATCATGAAAGCCAATTATTTTCTGGAATTAATTTCTTCTAAATAATATAAAAAAGGTTTTTAATATTATTAAGATGGTTTTCCATTGATTTGCTGTTATGGTAAAATCTAACTAGTTATACCAGATTATACCATTAGAGCCACAAATGAGGAATATTTCTTGGAACAACTCTTCCTAACTGTTTTAAATAATTCAAACCACACTTAAACCCCCAGTTAATTTCCAAAGAAACAGTAGAACTGAATAGGAGGCATATGGGACTAATCCCAGGTACTCAAATAATCTGATATCAAAGTACAGATAGTCCTTGACTTATGACCATTTGTTTAACAACCGTTCAAAGTTACGAAGATGCTGAAAAAAGTGACTTACCACCGGTCCTCACACTTACACCTGTCTCAGTCTCCCCGCGGTCACGTGTTCAAAATTCAGACACTTGGTAATCGGCATGTATTTATGATGGTTG